CTCTCCAACACACCAGTGTGCTGTACAGTAAGGAATTGGCATGTTCTGTTTACATGACAGACCTTACTATTTGGCTGTGTCAGGTGGTGGCGGGTTTAACGACACATTGATATTTACGCAATCTAACCAAGTAAAAAAAAAACTCATGGATTTTTTTATGTTACCAGATAAGACCCACTGAGCAATATAGCTCTTTTTGAGAAGCGACCTTGCTATCACAAATGAAAGCTCAACGAAGTGGATTGACATCACGTGGAACTGTATGGCAGTCAAATACTGTAAATGAATGATTCTAAATGTGGATCTGGGAAAAAAACCGGAGGAACCCGGAGAGAAATCCGCGGGACCACGAGCAGAGAGACACCGCAAACTCCAAATATACAGGCGTCAGGGTCGGGATCGAAACCCAATGACTCCTGTGTGCCAGGTATCTGAGGCTGAGCTCCGGAAAAAGACTTTGCCTTTGAGGTGTCCGGGGAACGAGGGATCAGGGGTAGCCCTTAAATATTCCGTGAGAAATCAAGCACAGGTCGCATCACGTGGCTTTCGTGTTGGCGGAGTGGTGGGGCAGCGGTACGCGCACTGTACTATGAACCCGTTCGATCCGAGTTCGATTTACGGCCGCTGCTAACATCGATTTGTGAAACCAGTCCTGGGACATCGTCACTTCACCAACCCGCACTGACTAGGGGGGAGGTCAAACGACCGCCACGATCGATCCGGAGCAGCTGGAGGCCTTCATTCAGCATTGGAATGCCAGAGGGCTCTATATTATTATTATTGTGATTTATATGTACAAGCGAGCAGCTATTGGTTGTGGTGTTGGCATCGTCAAATCCGTCGATTAGTTTAGGTACAATACCTTACAAAAGTCTTCAACAGTGAAATCTTCACTTAAACCTTTCGTGAATGCAGGAATTAATATTGTTTGGGTCTTTCGGTAAAGTCACGTAAAGAAAAGAACAAAAAAACTACCGTGGTAGTTTCAACCGTGGTTTCCCAAATGCCATTTCTCACTGAACGTGCCCGATGATTGCTAAACAACAGTCTCAAGTGGTAAAATCCGCGCCGTCTACGCCACGCGGGACGTGCACGCGTGATTTATATCTTAATTTCAACCAAGACAATCCGCTTAACAATCAGCAGGCGCGTGCAGCGCGCAATTGACTACTTAATTTGCGCTTCAAAGGAGGTCAATTGGTAAACTTGTAAAGATGTATGGAGGTGGCCTAGGCCTGGTTGGCACCCGAAGTCAAGCACTTGGGGAGGCGAGGATGTTCCTCGTGAGAGATTTGTGCGACTGGGCGTGGAGATGTCCAGCACATGGCCGAACAGCAAGTGGGTGAGTCCCCATCCATGGCGACCTTTTGAATCTCTCTCCGGGTAACCGCCGGGTTCCTCTCGCAACGCAACCCGCAAACGCCACTCGTTAGACACACGCCAAAAAAAAAGCAGTTGGAGGAAAAACGGTGTGCAATGATCCGCGGGGAAAAAAATAATGAAATGTTGGGATTCGCGGAGTAATATTGTGGTGAAGCTTGAACAGCGGCGACTGTTACCCCCTTGCTCAAGTTTGTCTCGGCCGACTTGTTAGCCACCCCCTCCCCCCTTTGCACGACCCAACAATGGTTTTGAGAATTAAATGTTACGAATAACGAACCCTCGATATGTTCTACCAATTGTCTACTTTGTGAGGGATCTTAACTAGCTAAGTAACTAATTTCAGCGGACGCTCCATGAGCTTGACGCGATTTGTTCGCGCTCGCTGGTCAACCGCTTTGTTTGCACTCACTGAGTTTATGAGAGGTCTTTTGTATCGTTATAAGTTACCAAATTTGATGTGTATAATATCGTAGTTATTTCACATCGGCAGATTCGTACAACGCGATTATTCACCGTATGACGACCATCACGTACCGATATGATTTCACACGTTTTTCATCCACCTCACGTGACCCACTCCCGGACATTGCCACGCGCACCCCCCACCCCCCACAAGGGTTCCGCGCGTACCACCCCCCCCCCCCCCCCGGTTGAGAGCCACTTAGATGGAGCACATCGCCATCGTTTCAGAGTGGCAAGAGGCAACTTTCTTTTTAGCGCTTTTTTTATTCACTGGCGAGAGTCACGCCTGGGGGGGGGGGGAGGGGGGGGTGAGACGTCATTGTCCGCTCTCGACCCCGATGTCATTTGCTGCCCGCACCTTCTCCAGGCGGATCCGCAGCAGCCGCCGAAGCTTCGAGTTCAACGCAAAGTCGCGTGCCTGGGTTTAGCCACACTTTGTGTACGCATCGATTGTCGATGTGTCGTTAAACCCGCCACCACCCGACACAGCCAATTAGTGAGGGTTGGTCACGTAGACAAAACGTGCCAATTCGTTACTAGTACAGCACACCGGTTGTGCATTGGAGAGTGAACCCACATGTACAATTGTAGACGTTGTGGGTTTGTAGATGTTGTGGGTTTACTCTCCAACACACCGGTGTGCTGAACTAGTAACGAATTGGCACGTTTTGTTCAGTTTAACACGAAGTAGGCTTTCGCGACCAATATCATCCATAATACAGGTTGTGTGGGTTAGATCGGCAAATATATAAATCTGTCGTTACACCCGCCACCATCCGACACAGCCAGTTAGTAAGGTTCTGTTCACGTGACAAACCTACCTAATTGGCTGTGTCGGGTGGTGGCAAGTTTAACGACACAACATTTATATATTTACGCGATCTAACCCAAAAGCCTCTTATGGATAATATTGGTCATGAAAGCCTCCATATTAACCCATCAATAATAGTCATCATTTTCCTTTGCCTTCCGCGAATTAAATCTCACTTTGCATAAATAGTATTATCATAATAATTATCATCGTTCAATGTCCATTGTTGTCACTCAATGATGGTCAGTGATTCAATGAAACATCATTATCATGCCTGCAGGTATTATTATTACGTGCATCGTTATTAGTATCATATAATCAATCATACTCACCATCATCCAATCAACCATCAGCATCCTCCAATCAACCATCGTCATCATGCAATCCATCATCATCACCATCATCAATCGTCGTCGCCACCAGCATGCCTGCATGCATTGTGCGCAGCGAACACGCCGAGCAAGACGACATTGCCTCCAACAGTTGACGATTCGCACTCGGCTCCTTGCATTCATATTCACTCGGTGCGCTCCCTGCATTCACTAATAGCGCATATATTGAAGGCGAGAAGCGCCGCGTTATTAAACGCCTTGTGCTACACTCACCATCATCCCATGAAACGCGCGCGTGGTTTGGTGTACAGCTCGTAAAGACTTCACGTGCGAAGTCTTCATGTGTCCCAAGTGTTCGCCGTGCCTGGATCCTCCATCGCCATTTCGTGTTTAACCGGTTAACAGTTGCGAGCCGCGTAAGGTTCTGCAATCGACGATCGAACGCCTTGAACGGACGGAGTGTTGTTGAATGTGAACCGTAGGCCGCTGGCAAAGCACACAGTGTCTGCATAATACAGGTTCGTTTTTTAGGGTTAGATCGCGTAAATATATGAATGTGTCGTTAAACCCGCCACCACCCGACACAGCCAATTAGTAAAGGTTGTCACAAAACTGGCCGTCGCCTGATGAAGCTAGTTGTAATTACTGGCGAAACGTCGTACTCAGATTGTTGTGGCTCGACTCTCCAACACACCGGTGTGCTGTACTCGTGACGAAATGTTCTGTTTACGTAACAAACCTTACTAATTGGCTGTGTCGGGTGGTGGCGGATTTAACGACACATTGATATATTTACGCGATTTAACCCTAAAAAAACCTGTATTATGGATGCTATTGGTCGCGAAAGCCTGCTACGTGTTAAACACAGGTCTCCGTTGGAAAGGTCTTGCTTTTGAAAAGATCTTTCTGCCACGTAGAAGGGCCATTGAGCACAGCGCTACCGAGGGTATACAAGATCCCCTATTTAGGGCACAGGGTTACTGGCGAGAGTGTTGAGTGTTTTCCATGTGGTGACGATGTCACCACAACTTTGCTTCTAAAAGCCTTGCTCCGAAGACTGCAGCGCTCTCTTGCGTACGGACACCCTGTTGCCGTGCTGCATGCTGCAAGGGAGAAGCCAAGAGGTGCAGCGTACTTTGCTGCGTGGACACAGCAGCGCATGTCTCGTCATGCGGACATCCTTTGTAAACATCCAGTCATCAAATCAAAGCTGCCTCTTCTGTTCACGAATATAACGAATGTTTATGACATCGTCACCACAAGCGGCTGTTTTCAATACTCTGTCGACGATCACAAATTACGCGTGAATTTCAATACGGTCTGTGCCCTTAAAATGTCTCTGGATGTTTGTGTCCGTGGGAACGAGGCATGTAACAGGTTAAACACGCCGTCTTCCTCGTCATCACTTTCAATTACCAGACATGGCCTGCAGGTCCGGCTATGACGACATCCCCTGGATGCCTTACAACCCATCCCAGCTTCATCGTCTCCTTGCCTCATGGCACCTCCCTTGCCACTACCAAAATATAAGAATAGGTTTTACCCTTTCTGGCAATAAAACAGGTTTTGTGTTAAGATGTTAAAACACCAAACTGAAACCTTTTGCAAGGGATCATGTGTGCATCAACCACACACACATGTGGTGAACATGCAAACAAAACACATTGCTCTGGCAGTATATGCATTATATTCTTGGTTCTTTCGGTAAAGTCGCGTAGAAGGGAAACAATAAAATAATAAAAATATAAAACAAGAAAATTCTCACGACGTTTCGACTGCAACACAAGCAATGATGATGATGATTGCTTGTGTGGCAGTCGAAACGTCGTGAGAATTTTTTTTTAAATATTTTTTATTATTTAATTGTTTCCCTTATACGTGACTTTACCGAAAGAACCAAGAATATGAATCCCTGCAGTCACGAAAGCTTTAAATCAGTATATGATGCATTGTCTTTGAAACTGATTGGTCCACACCAGAGACGGCTTTCTTGAAAGCCTCGTCTCAAACGGTGTTAGACCAGAGGACGCCAAAAGGCGAACAGCACAAAGACAATGCCACTATCAGGGCATTGAGTGCTCGGCGTGAGCAGCTACTGTACATCATGGGACCTCCCTTGCCAGTATCAAAATATACGGTTTCAGTTTCTCCATGCCTCCTCCATCTCTGTCATGGCATCACTTATCTAGGGCCCCGTTATCGCACCTTGACCATGCGTCTACAGCCATCTTTCCCTCCCTCCCCAAACTCACGGGACCACCTTGGTTCAGTCGGCTCACGCGACCCTTCCACTTCTTCGTCTTGGCCGCCGGCCGTGCCTCTGAGCAGCCCTCCGCTTCTCCCTCCGCTTCTCCCTCAGCCACGCGGGGACCTCACTCTTCCGGACGCAAACGCGTAATCGGTGTTCTGCCATTCAGGGATGTCGTCAAAATCGTCGTCAATAGTCCCACCCCCATGGTTTATCACGAGCTGTCGCTGCCGCGCGCCTTCACGTGAAACCTGCGTCCGCCCCTCCTCGTCGCCTGCTGCTGCTGCTCCTTGAGCTCGACGTAGGAGCGCGAGAAGGTGTGGAAGATGGAGGTGACGGGAAAGGCCATGAGCAGAATTCCGCTGAGGATGCTGCTCAGAGCCACCACCTGCCCGGGCACGCTGTGCGGCACCACGTCCCCGTAGCCCACCGTGGTCATGGAGATGATGGCCCACCAGTAGGTTGCTGGCACGCTCGAGAAGCTCTCCCTGTTGCCCATCTCGCTCTCGACGAGGTGCTCGAGCGGCGCGAAGAGGGCCATGGCCACGCACAGGAAGAGCACGAGGAGGCCGAACTCGCGGGTGCAGCGGCGGACGGTGAGGCCCAGAGACTGGAGGCCGAGCGAGTGTCGCGCCAGGCGCATCACGTAGAGGATGCGCAGCGCGCGCAGCACCCTGAGCACGAGGCCGACCTTCTCCAGGTAGCTGCTGCCGCCCGCCGCTTTGTCCTTGGGGTCCGAGAGAGAGTCGACGAGCAACGTGACGTAGTAGGGCAGGATGGCGATCATGTCGATGACGTTGAGCGGGGTGCGCATGAAGCGGCACTTGCTCCGCGCCTGCACGAAGCGCAGCGCGAACTCCAGCGAGAACCACGCCACGCACACGCTCTCCACGACGAAGATGTCGCGGCACTTCTGAGAGCACTCGCCCTGCGAGGGCGCGGAGGTGGTGCAGAGAGGGAGAGAGAGCGAGTGAGAAAGAGAGACGCCAGCAACACAGACGCACTGATCAAGGTGTTTGGGTGAGCGGCATGTTTGTTGTTGCACGTTGGGTTTCTTTGTACAATGCGTTGTTATATTGTGCTGTTGTGGCCCGGGCTTCATTTCTTACTCATTTATATGACGGCCGGCCGCTGGCAGACTGAAGTGGGCATGTGACCAGTACCCACAGCCGGAGCGCAGGGTAGCAGCACCTGATGTGGTGTGCCGGGTACGGGAATTATTTCTGCCAGTCGCCGACCTTAACAGACCCGGCTGAAATCAACCCCCATCTGGTTCTGCGTGTGACCCAAATCGTGTCAGATCCTGGACACTAAAGCGGGAGGGGGACGGGTTTGAGTGTGGCTAGTGAGAAATAACCAACGGGTACAGAGTGTGGCGGATAGTGCTTGGATGCAGGATGAGCGCCTTGCACAAAGACCGCTTGCCATCGGTGTGGGCAGATCGAGTGTCGACTTCTCAACAGCGGCGGAATCCAGCGGAAGGTAGCGATGTCAGCGTGCGGTGTCATCAACGGCACTGGCCCTACAATAAATACGACATCTCTCGATCGCCTCCCAATTTAGTTGCTGATGGGATGATTGTGCACACGGGCGAGCTTTGAATCTATTCGCGCAATGGGCAACGTGCAGCAATGACAATTGGCGATGACACTGACACCAGCGCCCCGTGACAAGGGCACACGATTGACGGACCCTCAAGGGGTTACGCGAGTCCATAGCGCTAAGGAGCGCAGCCCTACCGACACACTTGTTAATGAAGTGTAAGCACACACACACACACGCAGCGCACACAGCTACAGTTACACACCACCCACGAACAACGGCGTAACAGATCCCCCCCCCCCCCCCCCCGTGTAGCCTTTATGGACTGTCGAGGCAAGTACCGTTTGTTAACGAGCGCTTATAAAGACTGGCACGCGAAACTCCAGGGGTAGGCTCGACACACCGCCAATGCCACGCTTGGTCGCCTTTGTCTCCCCCGGTGCTGACATTCCGCGCCAACTCGTACGGATTACCCCGTATTCTCGCACGGGGAAAATTGAGTTGTCAGGTCCATACGGCGTACAGACGTTTCAATACGGGCAAAAAAAGGCGTATATTTGTTTGTGTTTATCACTTGTGATGGGACTTTGTAGGATGAACGTTCAGATTTTAAGGGGCACAGGGTGACTGAATTGGTCTGTAATATGGTAGGCACTGATAAGAGGTTGATATGTATGTGCTGATGCTTACACACCGCAGCAGTTAATAATTATTTGTGGCTGAGTCGATCGAAGGGAGGCTCAGCACGCGTTCAGATGTTCGCCACTGCCATTAGCCTTGAGCGGAAATTCAGCGTGGGGTCGCCGGTGATCGTTGCTCAACGGGCTAACCACAGCGCTACCCCAGTGGACTAACCACAGCGCTACCCCAGTGGGTTAACCACAGCGCTACCGAGTGGGCTAACCACAGCGCTACCCCAGTGGGCTAACCACAGCGCTACCCCAGTGGGCTAACCACAGCGCTACCCCAGTGGGCTAACCACAGCGCTACCCCAGTGGGCTAGCCACAGCGCTACCGAGTGGGCTAACCACAGCGCTACCGAGTGGGCTAACCACAGCGCTACCCCAGTGGGCTAACCACAGCACTAGCGCACCCCACTAAGCTCTCGCTGATACTCTCACGCAACAGCCACCATGGCGACGTCACCACGGCGCTTGTGCCAGGCTAGGTGCACTGTGAGGCCACGTGAAGTGTCGAATATTCGCTGGCGGGAGATCACGGGACAGACCCAGGTGCCACGGGTTGACTGGCTAAGTTGAGTGGCAGATGCACCATATGCGCTCCCCACTATTCCAAATTGCGTTTTATTCACCAGGCTCTCCGCTCGTTGTTGTGAGTGTTCCTCCTCTGCCCTCCGTAATTGGAGAGTGACTGCCTCCAACTGCCCAGCAGCGTCCTTTTTGAGCCTCCCCTACAGAGGCCGATCTTGACACCGGTGGTACCGGTTATCAGCATGTCTAACTAGCTCCACTTCCTCCTGTACCACATCAGTCAATTTCTTCTCTAGACCATGTCGCGCCCGTTTAGCTGCCTCTCTCTGGCCAAACAAGCTGCTTGGGCATGCGGGGCTACATGACACAGCCAACGCTGCCTCGCCTGTCGTAAGAGCTCACAGATAGGAATGTGTCCAGAGCGTTCAAGGATCTGTGAGTTCCTCTCACAATCCATTCTGGTTAAACCCATGCAGGATTGATTGTCGGCTGGCTTGCTTAAACGTATCAAGCCAGTGCAGATGTAACTTTAACGCGATCTATGTTTTGCAAGCACGAAGAAGAGAGACTGCAACTGTGACCACGAAAACTCCGAGCTTCACGTGGAGCAATATGCCAGAAAACTTCCACACAGCGTTACACATCTCAACATAGCTATACCAAATAAATGAAACTGAAACATATTAAACCGCTCAATCGATTCAGAGTGAGATCTCTGCTCCGATACCGGAGCTTGTCAGAAGCAAACTGTCCCGGTACCTGGAGGAGAGGGTGCAGTCTTGGATGACATTAAATCAAACACCCAGGCAGGTGCTTTGTTTTGGTGGGGCCGATGGGAACGCTGTACTTCTTAGTGGCACGCGTCAGGTTCTAAAGAAGTCTCCAACTCTTTCTCAGAGTGAGCAGCAATTACGAGATCATCGGCATACACGACAAGGTTGACCAGTAGGACGACATTCCTTGATCGCACCAGGGCATCGATCAGCCTCCCAATGTATCTGTACCAGATGGAAATTCCTCTGGTGCAGCCATGCAAAAGTTTCACAAACTACTTGGTGGCAATATTCGTTAGATTGTGTCGTGGCCAGAGGACATCCCCGTTGCACCGTAAAGCGAATGGCTCTGACTCCCGGATACGCAGCTTTACCCGGGGCCTGTCTGCCATCATTGAGGTCTTTAAAAATTGTGAGCAGAGAGTCAGGGATCCCGGAAGCACAAATAATAATTCAAAGCCCTGGCATATTTATGGTACCATAGGCCATGACCAGGTTAATACATCGGAGAAGTAGGTTTGTTTCTCTCACACATATTTTCATATTCTAAGATACAGATACAAAGCGTATTCGGGGAGTTGCTGTGAGCGAGCAAAGGCCGGTACGGCACAGGACGGGGTGAGTGGGACCAGCACCACGCCCTGCTGCATTTGTCTCCCTAGTGGCGATGAGTACACACCGCACCAGATATTCATTTGAGGCTGAGTCGACCTAGGGGAGGCCCAGAAATGATTCAGATAATCGTCACTGGTGTTGGTGGCCGTGAGCTGCAATCGAACCCGGGTCGCCGGGTTCGTAGCGCAGTGCGCTAATCGCACATCCCATTAGCAAGGTTGGCTACGTGCGGTGCGAAAGAAGTTCACCGTGAGTACATAGAAAAGCAGCAGCAACAACGCTAAGCTTTCCCCACTAAGTAGCAGTCACGACGGCGCTTGTTCCAGACTCGGTGCGCTTTGCAGGTCAACACGGCACGGGGCGGGGTGGTGTCGATTGGCTGACTGAGATTATCACACAAGAACATCCAGGATGGGCTTGAGCAGACCGTTTGAGTAAGTTGTTCTTAGAGGTTCTGAAGCGTTTGCCGAGTCCATCACGCCAGGAAAGACAAATCGACACACGTTTTCATCAAGCGTTGAACAAAGACAAAGATCCCCCGTATAACCTTAACAGACTGTTGGAGCAAGTGCTGTTAGCGAGCACCTATGAAAGCCCCACGGCACACGAGGGGGTGGGTGGCCAACACCACGCCCGGCCGCCTTTGTCTCCCCTGTGGAGAGGTTTACACATCGCATCAGGTACTCATTTGAGGTTGAGTCGACCTAGGGGATGCCCATAACCGGTTCAGATAATTGTGACTGGTGTGTTGGCCGTGAGCGGGAATGGATCTCGTGCCGTCGGGTTCGTAGCACGCAGGGCGCTACCGCTCCGCCGCGCACACGCGCACGAGCACGCGCACGAGCACGTACGAGCACGCGCGCGGGTCACACCTTCTCCTCCCTGAGCTCGGGCATGGTCCCCACGCACAGGCTCACGGCCGTGATGGTCACAAAGGCCACGGAGATGCAGGCGAACGCCTTCCCCGCAGGTCCCGAGCTCGGGTTCTCCACCATGTCCCGTAGGTGGCCCATCGCGCGCACGCAGCGCGTGGGCCGGCCCAGCTTCATCCCCTCGGCGTCATCCGCCCCGAAGACGTCGTCGTCACCGACATCACGGACGCCGTCGCCGTTCATCTCGGCGCCGGCAGCGGCGGCGGCGGCGGCCTCGTCAGCGTCACCGCCGATGCCGTCTTGGTCGTCGTACTGCTGCTGCTGCTGCATCTCGCCGTCCTTCTGCAGGATGCGGCTCAGGCAGCAGAGCTCCAAATTGTTCTCCTCCACGCCCCAGTAACTGAGCTCCTCCCGGAACGACAGCACGCACACGCCGCCGAGTATCCGCAGTTTGCCCGCGCGCAGGAAGGTCATGATGGCCCTGAAGGCGCCGGGGTTTCGGTCGAAGAAGAACTCGTTGAGCGATACGTCGTAGTCGTCGCACAGCGCCAGGATGTCCTCGCGATTGCTGCACGCTCGCAGCCTGCCCAGGCGGGTCAGGGGGAACCTCTCGAGATCGGTCCACGCGAACGCGTAGCGCAGGCCTCCCACGTTCACCAGCAGGTCGGCGCGTCTCCTCGGCGCGAGCAGTCGGTAGTAGAGGCCCTTGGCCGGGCTGCTGTCCGCGTGGGACGCGCAGGGGCTCAGCGGGAAGTCGAGCGGAGACGGCGGGAGAGAGCCGATGGACGTGCGTGGGCGGCTCTCGCTCACGCCGGACAGAAGTGGCATCCTGGTGTCGGGGGTGGCCTTCGTGCTCGCCTCGTTCGCGGCTCCTCACGCCGAGGCCCCACGCGCTCGTTTGTTTGGCCGACGTGCGGAGGAGAAGGTGCGGCACCTGCGGCAACAGGAGACGCAGTCCACGCATCGGCATCGTCGTCGTCGTCATCGCAAGCAGCAGCAATAGAAGCAGCATCATGAGCAACAGCGGAACCATTGCATGTTATCATCAGCGGTTGCAGCGGCAGGCATCATCGTCCTTATCCATATCCCTGCAAGGTAGCCTATTGCGTGAATCATCATCCTCATCATAACTATATTCGAAAAAAAGTTTTGCTGGCTGGTGAGCTGGAGGAGGTAGGGACGGACGGTCACGTCCAAAGGACGTGCGCGCGCTGTTCGTCATTATGATAATCATCATCATCATTCCTGAAGGTATTCACATTCACATGCTTCCAGGTATTATGTGCGTCATCATGGTCATCATCATGATCCAATCATCATCATAATTATTATTACCAGCATGCTTGAAGCTAACTGCATTGAATCGCAATTTGCATTTATACTGGAGGAATCCGATGAGCTATAAAGCTCTTTTTCTTTTTTACAGATGCCCATTGTGTTCAGCATCCGACTTGCAGAACGCAGCCGTCGCTCGCACGACGCTGCACCGAGTGACGCGCGTCCCACGCGGCTATCGGTTTTGGGGCCGTCCATAAATGACGTCACGCGATTTTGAACGATATTTGACCCCCTCTCCCTCGTCACACATCGTCACAAATGTCTGACCCCCCCCCCCCCCCCCCAGGTGCGTGACGTCATTTATGGGCGGCCCCTTTGCCAAGTGTCCACCCCGCGTGAGAATTGACGCGGCGCGGAGCCCCACGTGGGCCGCTTCCGTCATTCCGTGCGCGTAGGGGAAAAGCTGCCCGCGTGCGTCGATCACCGCGACCCGCAACACCGCAGCGGGCGAGGCCCGGCTGTTATCATGGGGCGCAGCCCTGCTCGCCGTCTCCACCTCGGCGCGTACTCTCGACCGCCGCAGTAAAGCAGAGACGTGACGGCTATGGCCGGAGGGGTGGGGGTGGGGGGGGCCGCCGTGCCAGAGTGGGGGCCCTGTGCCAGAGTGCCAAAGCGGAGACGCTGGGGCCGGGGGAGGGGAGGGGGGTGAGACCACAAATCGACTCGAGGCTCTTCCGCGCCGCTTTCGCACGCGACCACGGAGGAATACATCTTAATTGTTGATGCGCGCTTTAAGAACTCTCCTCTACCAAGACGTCTGGGTGCAGCGTGCAAGAGCAGGGCAATGTATCATCTTAGAGGGGCTCGCTGTCTCTCTGGGGAGTTGGCTCGAGTGGGAGAACCTTCCGCCAGCAGTGGCGGGAGAAAGCAATTGCGGGGCTGCGCCTTTAACTCTGAAGGCTTCCCTCTCGCCTTTGTTACGTAATTTCTCAGACGGAGTGCGCGGCGAAACCACTTGGGCACTGAGACCGGGTACCAAGACAAAGATCCCCCATATAGCTCTCGCAGACTTTTTGGGGAAAGTGCTGTACCTATGACTTGTGTATCACGTTGAGTTGTAGATGGTAGTGTGTGTATATATATCAGGCTCACGGGTTGGGGAGCGGTAGCGCAGTGGTTATCGCAACGCGCTATGAACACCATCGGCACGAATTCAATTCCAGCTCACGGCAAACATCGCTGACAAATATCTGAGCCGATTCCTGGGCCTCCTCTAGGTAAACTCAGCCTCAAGTGAGTACAGTACCTGGTGCGTTGTGTAAACATCGCCATGAGAGAGACAAAGGCGGCCGGGTGTGTTGTTGGCCACCCATCCCCTCGTGTGCCTTGCGGGCCTTCATAGGAGCTCGCTAACAGCACTTGCCCCGACAGTCTGTTCAGGCTACACGGGGGATCTTTCTCTGTTGTCTTTACTGGACGAGAGACGCGCAGCCCTACGCAGAAGCGAAGGGTCTAGACTCGAACATCGGCAGTGAGCCGACAGCACGGACGGGGGGTGAGAGAGGTGGGATATTCTATATTTTTGGGGCAGCAGATGAGAAGGAACGACCTCCTATCGAGCCGAGGTATTTATAGCAGTGATGTCGCGTGGTTGGAATGGGCCCTGGGGCAATGAGTAGAATATCCCCCCCCGCTCCAAGTTCAACATCCCCCCACCCTCCACTTCAGTTAGCCCGGCGACTGAGTGTCTCTGAATTGTGGGGCCCGGTGCAGTTGCACCGCCTGCACACTCGGGAGTTCTGCCACTTCTGAATAATCTCCTGCGTAAAATCTTGACTTAAAGCATTCGCGACTGCAGGAGATTATATTCTTGGGATTTTCGGTAAAGTGACGTAGATATGTTCAAAGAAAATAACGAAAAAAACGACGACGTTTCGATTGCAAAACAATCACTCGTCATCAGGAGAAGAAAACTAATTACGATTGCTTGTGTTGCGATAGAAACGTCGTAGTTTTTTTGTTATTTTTTATTATTATTTTCTTTGAACCTATCTACGTGACTTTACTGAAAGACCCAAGAAAATAATCACCTGCGTAGTTTGTGCGGGGTGGGGGGGGCAGTGTAAGCGACGCCTTTGAAGGTCGTTAAGATACACGGAAGAGGCGGTGTGACCCAGCTATACGTCCGACCGTCTTTGTATCCCCCACTTCCAATGGTTACACTCCGCACCTGCAGTGCCAGTTACTTTAAGGCCCCGTCGCCCTAAGGGAGACGCAACCCGGTTTCAGATATCACTCGCCACCAATACACGCTCGCGCGCGTGTGTGTACCTTGTTTGCACATACTCCTGCACGCACACACACGCGCATATATGTTATGAGCAAGCATATATTAAGGCCGATATGACACACAAAGGGAGTAAGTGACGACAATTACATACACCCGATCCGCCCGTGTCTCTCCAGCGCTGATGTCCATTTACGAATCGTTACCCAGTGCTCATTACGAACCGAGTGGACTGAGCGGAATGACAGAACAGGTTCAGATATCAGCTTCCACTGATATATGTGTGTGTGTGTGCATGCGCATTTTGCATGCATTATTTGTACACACAGAGATATGAGGATCTGCCGTGCAGGCTTTGCGAGGCTCTTGTTGGTTTGAGTGATGTTAGCGAGCAACACTTTAAGCGCCAGCAGGGCTAACGAAGTGGGTTATAATGGGTAGCCGAACAGCACCACGACAGTCCGCCTTTGCCTCCTTCGGTGGCGATTTCTGTTCGCGCACTGTAATAAGTAACTCTCAGGCCGAGTACACCTAGCCGGGGGGCCAGGACACGCACGGAGAGCACTTTCCCACTCGCGTCGCATCCGCGGACACGTCGATTCGATCGTCGCCCGATCGGCGGTGCGATGCGCTCCGCGTCCTGAACACGTGCGGCACGTGAACCCTCACGGAGCGCAGGGAGGTTCGTCACCGAGACGCGACTAATGCGGGGTCAAAGTTTGCCCTCCCCCCCCCACCCTTACACCACCCTGGAACAGGCTGTTGGGGCTTGTCGGCGAGCACCTATTAAGGCGGACACGGCGCGCGAGGATGGAACCCTTCCCGGCCGCCTTTGTCTCTCGTGTGTCGATGTTTATACAAGGCACCAGGTTATCGAGGACCGGATCGGTGTACACTCGGCAGCGATGTTAACCACGTGGGGGGAATCGAACTTAGGCGACCGAGTTCTTTCTACAAACAAACAAAAACATCGCCTTACAACCTTTGACAAACTCTTGAGGCAAGGGTTGTGACGCAAGCGCCTCACGACACGGCGATCTTCGTGCACAAAGACAGAGAGATGCTCCGTGTAGCCCAGACTGTTGGAACAAGTGCCCTTAGCGAGCATCGCCTATGAAGGCCTCAGCGGCACACGAGCTGTGGGCGAGCACCACGTGCGGCCACCTTTGTCTCCCAAGCGGCGACGTTTTTTTTTTTTTACACAGCGCACCAGGTACTCATTTGAGGCTGAGTCCACCTAGGCGAGGCCCATGACCGGTTCAGATAGATACTCGTTACCGGTGTTGGCCGTGAGCGGGAATCGAACCCTGGTCGCTGGGTTCGTCGTGAAGCGTAGCGCTAACCACTACACCACCGCTCCCCATCCTCAACACACACACACGTCGAGAGGATTGTATATAACACCGTGGCCTGAAAGGACAAACGTATAATAGACGACGTTTCGGGCATTGACCCTTCATATTACCATCGCCCGATACGTCGCCTATTTTAATGTAGTTTTGTTTTGAAGTCCGCGGTGTTTTTTGACACGGAACGCGTTGAGTTATTTCGTTTCGATTTGTGGTTGTACATCACCGTCAACGCGGCAAGCAGATTCACCACGTAATGTTTAATTACCGGATTATAAGACGCACCTCCCTCACCCCCGCACTGACAAGCAGGCACAGCAACGCGAACACAACGGGCTCGCTGCGTGAGCGCATCGCAGCGCGGATGATGAACTTCAAAGTGCGCCGTCGAGTGAACAGCAGCAGCGCATATCACGGAGTCATTTTAACCCGCCGCACGCCGAGCGAGCCACGCTCCCACTCCACCCACGCCTTCAACTTGAGAACGTTCACCTCCGCGACGCATTTGGGCTTTGATGATCCGCGGCGCATTCGCGCGAGCGACCCGGGACCGGCGGCCCCAATCGGATCGCGAAGCGCGGTGCAGAATCCGGGGCGAGCGCGCAGGGTTTTATATTTATATTTTGTTTTATATTTTACGCACGACTTAAGGCGCTCGTCCGCCGTTACCTCGGAGGTCGCTTGACGGTAGATCTCATGTCCCTTGTCCCCGTGGTTGAGACAGCGGTCAGAAGTGACGGGTCGGATTCCCCACGTGCTGCTGCTGCTGCTGCAAGTTGCTGCGAATGGTTGTGCTGTTGTTGCTGTTGCTGCTGCTACCGATGATGATGATGACTACGATAATGGCTGATGGTGTTAAAAACACGACAGCTTAGCAACGGCGATATTTGCGCAACGCCAGCCGGAGCGAGCGAGCGAGCACTGCTCGGTCGCTTAGCGGTTTGTGTTGGAAATTGGCGCTCGCACGGCTGTTGGTGTAGAGGGGTGTAGCGCGCGGTAATGGACCGGGGAGGTGTTCGTGGGTGGGGGTGACGGTGCCGCCGTCACGTGGAAACCCGAGCGCTTCGTCGGAGCTCGCAAGTTGCAATTTTCTCCCACGAGTGCCGCTCGCCGTCAGGGTCACACACACACACACGATGGTGTGGGCTGCGGAGTTGTGGTCGCGAGTAGTCCAATGCCGCCCGGCGCGTGGAAGTCTCCCGTGCGCAGTGCTTCATTCGAAGCCGAAGGAGTCTGGAACATCGTCACGGGGAATAATCCCGGATCGCCACATCCGGATTCGCTTCATTTTACCCCAAGTCTGCTCACACGAGCATACGAATATAGGGAATGATAATAACATAGGGTAATTGTGGATAGGTAAACCTTGTATGTACATATATGTTGAACTTCTTTCACGCCGTACGTAGCCAATTGGAGTTGCGGGGGAAGGGTAACAAACTAAACACAAAACGCAGTTCGAAAGAAACGAGTGTTCAATGTAAAGGCCACTGTCAATCCACTGCTCGCGGAAGGCCTCCCCGCGTGGTGAGAGTCATGGACGTTGTTTGACCATACTTCTCCACAATAGTCAGTGCGGGCTGGTGAAGGAGACACCCAACTTTGGGTCAAGGTATCACTCGCCACCGATGTTTAGCCATGGCTCGGAATCGAACTCTGGTGAATAGTTTAATAGCATAGTGCATGAACCACTGCGTCACCGCTCCCTCCCAAAAATATGCCTTTAAATACTTAGTAAAGCGACGATGATTGTCGATTATATTTTTGTCAAGATGGTCTTGAAATGGTACTCTTTGTTGTAGTGCCGTACGCCGAGAGTCCGAGCCAGCCTAGCAACGTTCCGTTAAACGTCGCGTAGTAAATGAAGCCACCTGCCTCTAGCCGACTCTGCTGTTCCAAAGGGTCACAGGATCCCGTGTGATTAGCGCACGACTCATCATAATCACCGTCATCATCAATCATCATCATCAATCAGCAGCAGGCACAAATTGTCTCAAACGTCGTCGTTGTCGTCATCCGTAACGGGCCTCGCGACGCAAAAGTTCATCTCTCTCGCGCGCACGAGAGTTCATCTCTCTCGCACGCACGAGAGTTCATCTCTCTCGTGCCCACGAGAGTTCATCTCTTTCGTGCCCACGAGAGTTCATCTTTCTCGCACGCACGAGAGTTCATCTCTTTCGCGCGCACGAGTGTTCATCTCTCTCTTTCGTGCCCACGAGAGTTCATCTCTCTCGCACGCACGAGAGTTAATCTCTCTCTCGCGCACGAGAGTTCATCTCTCTCGCGCGCACGAGAGTTCATCTCTCTCGCACGCACGAGAGTTCATCTCTCTCGCGCGCACGAGAGTTCATCTCTCTCGCGCGCACGAGAGTTCATCTCTCTCGCACGCACGAGAGTTCATCTCTCTCGCACGCACGAGAGTTCATCTCTCTCGCGCGCACGAGAGTTCATCTCTCTCGCACGCACGAGAGTTCATCTCTCTCGCACGCACGAGAGTTCATCTCTCTCGCACGCACGAGAGTTCATCTCTCTCGCGCGCACGAGAGTTCATCTCTCTCGCACGCACGAGATTTCATCGCTCTCGCACGCACGAGATTTCATCTCTCTCGCACGCACGAGAGTTCATCTCTCTCGCGCGCACGAGAGTTCATCTCTCTCGCGCGCACGAGAGTTCATCTCTCGCGCGCACGAGAGTTCATCTCTCTCTCGCGCACGAGAGTTCATCTCTCTCGCGCCCACGAGAGTTCATCTCTCTCGGGACGAGAGTTCATCTCTCTCGCGCGCACGAGAGTTCATCTCTCTCGCGCGCACGAGAGTTCATCTCTCTCGCGCGCACGAGAGTTCATCTCTCTCGCGCGCACGAGAGTTCATCTCTCTCCCACGCACGAGAGTTCATCTCTCTCGCGCGCACGAGCGTTCATCTCTCTCTCCCACGCACGAGAGTTCATCTCTCTCGCGCGCACGAGAGTTCATCTCTCTCGTGCCCACGAGAGATCATCTCTCTCTCGCGCACGAGATTTCATCTCTCTCTCTTGCCCACGAGAGTTCATCTCTCTTGCGCGCACGAGGGGACGTCATTTGCTCCATCTACACGACGGCCGTCCTCTCGGGCCGCAACTCTGTTGTTCGTCCGTCGTCTTACCCATCGTGTGTCGCTCATCCAACATTACGTCCTCAGTAAAATAAATAAATGAATGTCCCCCGTGCATTAATGTGCCCTACGCTGTGCTCGTCTATATTGGTGGGTGCTTTGCTAGTTGAGCAAATTCCACGTTTCTATGGCAGGAACCATTTGTCTCCGTGTGACACCCACGATTGACTTTCCACCAAGCATCTGTAGTACAAAATTAGCAAGTGGTGTCTGTTTCTGAACCATAACTCATAGCACATACAATTCAATATATTGGGTGAATAGCAACTTTGAATACATTTAAGTATACTATATTTTCAGTCAATAGGTGACAAGCAAGACTGTCAATTAGTAGTAGTTGTTTGCGGTTTAAAACACAAGTTTGAAGTCAACACTTTGAAAGGCAAGAATTGGTGGCTCACATAGATGTGTCCAACATCCAAATCTAACCTGCTCGGCTAACACGATGGGCAGGCAACGGCAGTACAGCAAGATGGGCTCATGAACCTTAATTGTGCAGTCCTTTGAGAAGTGTCATCCCGTTGCGTGCGTGATCTTCCTCTGGCTACTCCGCTTCCCTCCCACGGGCAAAAGCACCCTCATCCATACACGGGAATTGGCCCAATTATCCAAATAGCAGAATCGTCCTTAACAAATAGTCTTGAGACCAGGCCAGGCGCCAGCTCCTGCTCTCAGATTGGGAGGGGGGAGGGAGAGGAAGGGGCCGAGGAGGGGGAGGGAACAGTCGAGCTGCTGTGTGTGTGTGTCGGTAGGGGTGGAGGAGCGGTGGCGCAGTGGTTAGCGTTGCGCTACGAATCCGACTTCCCGAGTTCGATTTCTCCCTCGAGGCCCAACACCGGTGACGATGAATCTCAACCGGTCCTGGACCTCCCTTAGGTCGACTCAGTCTCAAATTTGTACCGAGCGTTATGTGTAAACATCGCCGCCGGGTGGATACATGCGGCCGGGAGTGGCGTTGTCCACCCACCTCCACGCGTGCCGTGCCGTTGTCCACCCACCTCCACGCGTGCCGTGCCGGCCTCCACAGGTGCCCCAACGGTCTGTCACAGGCTACACGGGGGATCTGCGCACTTGCTTGGTCTCTGTTTTGGGGGTGGCGCACCGTGACAGTGGCAGACCGCTCGGGAAAGTGAACTTGGGTGGATCCAAGGGACATTTGCCGGGACAGAGCCCCACCTCGACACCAACCCTGCCCGCCTCAGACTCAATCAGCCTCGTTCAACAGAGTTGTCGTTGTTCGTACCGTTTTGCTTGAACCTTTTTTTGGTCTCCAATTGAGCCCTGAAATTTTAACCGCAACCGTTTTTAGAATCGGTTGGCATTTGAAAAAAAGGTCAAACAAACAAAATAAAAAAACAGCGGGGGGGGGCACATTTCCGCAGCTGAGTGCGTCGTCAGTGCGGCTAAAGTTGAACCTGCCCGCGAGGGAACAATGCACCTGCTTTATATTTAATCAGCGCGCCGTGCTCCCTTAAACAACCACAACACACACGCAACACACACAACACACACAACACACACGCAAAACACACAACACAACACACACGCAACACACACAACACAACACACACACAACACACACAACACAACACACACGCAACACACACAACACACACAACAACAACACACACGCAACACACGCAACACACACGCAACACACACGCAACACACACAACACACACGCAACACACACAACACAACACACACGCAACACACACAACACAACACACACAACACAACACAACACACACGCAACACACACAACACAACACACACAACACACACGCAACACACACAACACAACACACACGCAACACACACAACACACAACACACACACGCAACACACACACGCACGCAACACACACACGCACGCAACACACACACGCATGCAACACACACACGCATGCAACACACGCACGCAACACACACACGCACACAACACACACACACAACACACACACACGCAACACACACGCAACACACACACACGCAACACACACAATACACACGCAACACACACACAACACACACGCAACACACGCAAAACACACACGCAACACACGCAACACACAACACGCACACAACACGCGCACGCACGCAGAACGTGCGCGCCACGTGGAGTGCGTTCGGCACGCTCTGCGAAGTGTCTAATTTGCAATTTAAACAATGGGTTATGGACGTTCGATTCATTAGAAAGGGCGCGAAACGCCGCCCGACTGGCGTATTAATGAGCCAAGTGAGAGAGAGAGAGCGAACGATCTCTTGCTGCTCAAATCACCATTGCACCATCGGTGATCATCTCCTCTTTACAGTCCCGAGCCAGCGGTGGACATTTCACATTCCAGAATCAGAATATTTATTTAGACTGCATAAGGAATCCGATGGCAGGTTTATGCACGGAACAAAAACTTTTGACTTTTTCCCACAACGTGGTACTAATTTTATCGCCCCGGGAGGGATGATGGGTTGAGTTAGCCCCCCCCCCTCTCGCCCACAAAAAAAATATTTGAACTGGCAACCTTCGGATGACGATCCTCTCGCTCAACCGTCGAGTCAAGAATGAAAGCGGCTCTTGCACATTTAGCACACGGCCCTATCGACCGCACGCAACGGCTACATTACAAATAAAACAATGGGTTACGCCCATTCGATTCATTAGAGACGCAGTCTCCCCCCGACCCCCAAGCCCTCTAGAACGCACGTGCGCATCGGTGAACGAAGCGTAGGCGACAAGCTAGCGCTAAAACACCAATGTGATATATCCTCTCGTAACGTTGTTCACGTTTTGTAAATCAGCCAAATGTAGTTTAACACGTAG